GTACTTTACGTCTAAACGACTTATGTGAAGGTGGTTTCCTATTTGTAGTGATGTTTGCCCTCTGAAGATGGTCCGCAGAGACCGAAACATGTAAGGCTGTTAAGTTTTTCATGTAGTAATAAACTTACAGGTCACATTGGACAGAGTGATTTATATTTGTGATTGTTTGTGTGACGGACCAAAAAAAAAAGGCAGAAGTGGTTAGATCAACTTTCAGTATTGAAATGGGTCCAGGAGGCACTATCCTTGTATGCTGTATGAGGAGTGGGTGGAGAAAAATAAGGAGGGAGGGAGGTAGCAGGCACTTAGTCATGTGGTGAGCAGACAATGAGGTAGCACTTAATCATGTAAGGGCTGTCCCATGCTGCACATAGATTATTTTGTATAAAATAAGCATGCAAAATTTCATTAATTTTGTGTGTGTGTGTGTCTGTGCATGCAAACATATCTCATAATTTTACCATCCCTATGGCACAATCAATTCCAATGTATGGTAATAATATTTATAAAAATACTTTATATATGAAACATCTTACATCTTTACCGTTTCTCACGGTGTTGTCGCTTGCAGAATTCTTATACTTTTTCTTCAACCCTGAAGATGGGGGCGATACGTTCCTCCGAAACGTCGGTTAACACCACATATACACGGTGCCAAATCCCAGAAGACTGCTTTCTTCATCTTACATTTGGCTTCAATCAAAACTCTTTTTATGTTACTACAGCTGTATATCAAAACTCATATATTATTTGTGTGATCAGCCATATTTGCAACTGTCTGAGATGCTGCAGTGACAAGTGTTCCTAGGTCTTGTAACCAACTGTAAGAAAAACAAACATTCATATTAGCAAATATTACTGATGCAATCATGCTGATATCACAATCCATTACTTTTCACGTTCTTTAACAGTGAACCTGAAAATAATTATGTTAAATTCTGGAGGTCTACAATGAACATAAGAGGCACATTTAATTTAATGAATGGATATGGGATGTCAATCTCATTAGAAATGAGAATAGTGTTTTTTTTTTTTCAAACTCATACAATTGTGCCATTGATATGAAACATTATGCTATAAAATCATAGAGTCAAATCTGAAGGAAAGTCACATACGGGTCATACGAAGGTCACAAGTTGAAGTTCGCATGAAGTTTGTGAAACACTGGGTCTCTTAGGACAAGATAACCTCACTCACTGGGCCGGACATTAGCTGTATCTAAGAAAACCTACAGAATAGGTGTCCGCTCAAGAAAGGACGATGGAAGAAGTCCGAAAAACCAGTAATTCCGCATGTTCCATCATCAGAACCGTATAGAATCTAAGTAAGTTCTGCTTTCCGGGTCTGGTCAAGTGGGATTTGTGGTGGGCAAAGTGGGACTGTGGCACGTTTTCTCCGAGTACTTCGGTTTCCCCTGCCAATCTTCATTCCACCAACTGCTCCACAATCGTCCTCACCTATCATCTGGGGCTGGTACATTATGCCAAAAGTGGCCGCAGTCCCACCCCAGTAGCAATAAAAAAAAGTTCCAATTTTGTAATGGTTATTAGGCATATTAAGTAAATATGCAACAACTGCTTTGCATGTTAAACTTTTGAGATCTGAGCTCTCAAAGCAAGTTTACTTGAAGCTGGGATGCAGTTCCAAAACAAACACAATGATAAAAAGCAAGCACAGATCCTTCCTTGAACATTACACAACTTCTCCAGTCCTATGCCCTGCCCTATGTAATTACACGAAACTGCAGATGAATTCATGGTTACACAGTTTCTCCAGCCTTAACCCTTTTTATTGTATTAACACCACAGTTGGCATCACTGTCTTTGTATTTCAATTTTCACGTAGAAGTTAATCAAATTAATTAATTTATATCTTCTTTTTAATATTATTGTTAATATTTCAGAGATTAGGCCATCTGGCTTGTTTGTAATAACAATTTGTTTTGAAAAGTTGGATATAACTTGGCCATTTTTTTTTATGCAGAGAGCGACATCTTAGCTCTTTACCGGAACGACAAATTCGGCGTCCATTTTAAAAGCAAATTTTACGAAGAGTTACCAGAACTACGTAAGTGCATGAATGAATGCTATCATGTAAGAATTATAAGGACTTCATACTGTACAAATATCACGTTGCTCAACATAACATGTTGCACTGTACTGTCTGCCAAAATCTAAAATTAAATTTCCAATTAAAATTCAAATTATAATAGGTCATCCTATTAAATTCAGTAAAAACGTTGACTCCAACCTTCTTAACAGCAATATTAACAAAACTAATATTATTAACATTTACATTTATATTCATTTCAGTGATCCAATCCTTTCCCCGGATGGCTGGATATAAAATATGTCACATATTACTAATTCATGATAACTCTACATCATACGTCCCAGGTCCAATAGAGTATATAAATAGGCCTCATGTAGACAGCAAAGGTTGTCAAGACAGTGTACATAAGTTGTGGAGACACTATTATCACATTTGACCCTCAATAAGATCTTACATATTTCCAACTATAATGATTCTATATTTCATAATTGCACATTTGGTTATTCTGCACACATTGGCCAAGTATATTATCAACATACTTTCATTTTAACATATTTTGAAATTCATAGCAAATGCAGTTATTATAACATACCACCACACTTATAACAAACAAAGCCTCAACAATGTATAAGCACACAGAACTCTTCTAACATTTGAGTTTTTTGTATGTTCAATAAATTTGTCAACAGAGTAAAAAGAGTTACTTTGTAAATAATTTTGCAGAACAAACCTAAACTGGTTTTTATCATTTCTTAAAGCTGGGATATTTGACGCAGAGTATTAAATAGCTTGACACCTGAATAATACACACCTCTCTGATAGGATGATATATGACAGGTGGTCATTCCTTCTGGTACCAATCACATATACCGAGTTGCCGGTCTGAAACTTATCACAATTATTAACAAGAAATGTTATCAGTGAGAGCAGATATACACATGGGACTGGGAATATGCCAAGCTTTTTAAATAGGCCTCTACATGTATGAGTTGGGCCCACTCCTGTCATTATTCTTCTTATTATTTTCGTTGGCATAACAAAGCTCTTACGGCTGTCAGATGTATTTCCCCAATATATTATTCCATATTTCACCAATGAGTGATAATACGCATAATACACTGTTTTAAGATTATTAATATTTAATGTATAAGATAATTTTCACATTAGAAAACCAACTGTACTCAACTTATGAAGCAAAAAATCTATATGTCCCTTACAAGTCCGATGATTGTTCAACTGCAAACCGAGAAATTTTATTGTTTCTACTTCTTTCAGTGTTTTGTTACAAAACAATTATGTAGTGGGTAGCTTATAGCTGCTGTTGGGGTGAATTTTATCATTTTTGTTTTATCCAGATTTAACACAAATTGATTATTTAAAACCACATAAACACAAGACTAAAAACATAATTAAATTTTATTTTTAAATTATAATAGTCTTTAGTCGTGCAAAGAATACTAGTGTCATCTGCAAACATAATAACTTCAGAAATTTTACTTATTTCGAAGGGGAAAACATTTACTTATATATTAAAAAGTAAGGCTCCCAACACCAATCCCTTAGGCACACCGTATCCAACAAATTCCCAGTTGGAATTATATTGTCATGTATCGGGCGTATAACGCGACAAATAACTTCACGCCGTATTTTATACAGCGAATTTTATTTCACATTCGCACTTACAATCACCCAAATTACAGATTTACGATTACTGCTATCTGCAGTATCACAAATAGTACACTCCAAATGCCAGAATACAACTGACTGGTTGCTGGCTAACTCGGAACTAACTCGGAGGTAGCTCGAGGACTGACTCGTAGGTAGCTGCCTTGAGAACTGACTGTGAATAGCCTTCGCTGCTCCTCATGTAGCCTCGATCGGACAATACAGAAAACGGCCACGTAATAAGCACCCTTGTTGCCTGGCGCTGTGTTGCTAGCAACGCTAGCGGTAGTAACCGCTGTTACTACCGTCGTCTCTCGCAATCCTGTTTACCCGCGCTGCCTAGCAACCCGCGGTACCCTTGGTGACGTCATCGCTGTTGACTCGCGTTGCATAGCGACCAGGATGCTAGGACTCGGCTAACTTCGGCTCACTTCAGCTTCGCTCGGCGCATCACAGCTGGCGGGGGGGGGGCGTCATCCATAGCTCAACATGTCACAATATTTATTTGTACAATTTAATTCCACTCTTTGCCTCCTATATTGGAGGTAAGATTTGAACCATTGCAGTAATACACCCTGCACTCCATAGTGCTGTAGTTTCATTAACAGAAGATCATGACTGATGCAGTCAAATGCCTTGGCTATATCACAAAATATACCAGATACATACTCCTTTGTATTCCAACTGTAAATATTATATTGGTTAATTTATATATAGAATCTTCAGTTGATAATCCCTTTCGGAATCCATACTGCTCTGGAGGTAATATTTCATGTGTTACAATATGATCATTGAGTCTCCTAGAAATTGCTGTTTCAAATACTTTTGCAAACCCAGTTACTATAGATATTGGTCTCTAGTTGCTTATAACAGCCTTGCCCCCTTTTTTGCATACTGGCTTAATAATTGCATATTTTAATCTTTCTGGATATAGACCCATGGTTAGTGACATAAGTTAAGAGGTTTACCAGTTTGTAGTTTTATTATTTTATTAGTTATGCCATCATACCCTGAAGAGTTTTTCAATTTTAATTTGTTAATTACACTAATTGTTTCCTCTTCTGCAATTAAATTAAAATTCATATCCAAAAAACCATTAGGGAAATGGGTGTGCATGAATGACATTGCAGTATAAACATTAGTTTTCTCCATATTAAGATTTTCTGTTATTGATGTGAAATATTTATTAAAACTATGAGCAGCTTCATCAATATTTATTTTTTCTATATTATTTTGAAAAGTTTTTGGTAAACTTTCTTTATTATTATTGTTTTTCTTTCCTGTTTCAATGTCGATAATGTTCCATGTATTTTTTATTTTGTTTTCAGCTGGTGTAATTAACTGATTATAATATTTCCTTTTAGCTTCTCTTATTACTCTCCTTCATATCATGCAGTAGGATCTATAGTATGATTTAAATAAATAATTGTAGTTGCTTCTACTGAGAATGTACAGTGATTCTTTCTGTCTACAGGAGGTATGTATCCCAGCTATTATCCAGCCATTATCATTGTGTTTATGTGTTACACTTTTCTTCGGAAAGCACGACTTATAGACAAGTAAATACTTATTTAAAAATAATGAAAAAATATATCACCCATAGTTTTTTAAAAAAAGGTGTTTTTGGTCACTTTGCATATATGCAAAACTGCGCGTACAAGTTACATTCACTAATACAACATAAATGGAAAGAAATTAAACTTCATATTTTATGAAGTAAAATTAACAAATATCGTTTAAAAATCATGGAATATTTATTGAAGTGCTGTCTGAATAAATACTAGCGAGTTTATGCATTATGAAACAGATGGAAATAGTTTTTGTCTTTATTCAGACACAAGTTCACTCGGCATTTCTCATACATTACAAATGTATATCCTTTGCAATTAGGATGTTTGCATGCTGTTCTCTTCTTATTCCATACAGGCCAGTGATTGAAGGGATCTAATCTTACATCCTTTGGAGGCAGCGAAGATCCTTTGTGTCTAAGTCTCTTACTCTCTATCGGGTCTGAGTTGCTTGGTCTGCCACGTTTCTTCTGTTCTGGGCCAAATCAGTCCTGTATTTCTTTCAAGTCATTGGCATGTCTGTTACACCTATTTCAATCAGCATCCTTCGGTATAGTATCCAGGAATTAACAATGGTGTCAATCAAATGAAAAAACAGTCACAGATATCATCGCTTTGATCTCATTTTTATGTGATGTCTTTCAATATTGCTTTCTAGTAAATCAACATTTCCCATATGGGAATTATAAACTGTAACAACTGCTGGACAAGGCACTAATTTGTGCTCCGTCTTCTTTCTGTCAAACCTCCTGACTTCTGTTTTAGGCATTTCTCCAACAAAAGTTGAAAGAAAACACACATGGCTGTTGTCTTTATACAAAACAGTGGAAATGTCCACTGACTCAACGCTTGTGATATATTCTTCAGAATATCCACGTGGTACCTTCTTGAGTTCTTTTTCATCTTGAAATTTGCAAGTTGGAATTCTGTTTCGCTGAATTGTGCCCACACACTGAATACCTTGCTTGAATAGATACACAGCTAAAGGTACAGATGTATAAAATGTGTCTAAATAAATCTTGTAATTTTGGTCTCTTGGTATTTCTGTTGACAGACGAATCACGACGTTCCCACTGGCCCCAATATCAGGTTCACCAACAAGTCAAATTTTCGGGTCACTTTCTTGCCTACTGTAAATCTCGATTTTATGAGCAAATCCCATTTCCCCAAATAACAAAAAGTTTATACCCCCATTTATTGGGCTTATCCTTCATGTGCATTTTCATATGGTGCCTTGCCTTAGTGGCTCACATCTGCTAGTCAATGGACAGGCGTTCAGACATAGGCGCTGACAAACATTTCTGGTTCATATAATCCAGTACAGGTCTAATTTTATACAGTTTATCATGAGCAGGATTTTGAGCATCTGGTTGCTTGGAATTATCATTGAAATGCAAACTTCTGTGCAATTTCTCAAAGTTCCTGTGAGACATGGTCTGTTTTACTAATTCAGTTCCAGTAATGTCATTCCAAAGGTCACGGACACAAGCAGGTGGAGCCAAAGAGTTTACAATACATATGCCAATAAATTTATAAATGTCATAGCTGGTGAAGTCAGTTGGCTTGTTTGGGTTTTGGTGGATGCTGTACAGATTAGTTTCATCTACAATTTTGCTTATTTCGTCAGTAAAAAAATATCTGAAAAATTGTTATGGTGTTGATAGCTCTAAAATTGATTGGGGCAACTTTGTATTTCCTTCGAATGGGAATAGGTCACCAGAAAAAGGAGCACTAGGTTTTTTCCACAAAATATTTTTTTTGTGAACCAATTCGTCTTTTGTCCGAAGTGGGAGCTGCAGCCACAGATGAGTCTTTTGTATATGAATTCACTGTTTGTGCAGCAGTTACAGGCTCGCTTTCACTATCTGACGATTCCAGGTCCCTGTATTTTTACTGTAGGGTCTGCATCTGAATCGTCGAAGTTCAACCCTTCTTCACTATCAGATGGACATTCCAGCGCCATCAATTCATTAGATGTCATTACTTTACGTTGTCTTTTGTCCCAATATTCAAATGAATCCATCACGGGAAATTTGTTATCATTACCAGCACAAGAAACTGAAAGAATGGAGAAACACGTACTCAGTATTACTATGCAATGCGAATGGTGAAGCAGCAATACTGCGCACTATTGCACATGTGCAAAACAAAAGAAAATTTGTATTACTTACGTTTTACTCTGTAGAATTATATGTTATACAATGCTGCACTCACTAAAGATTCTAGATAATGAACATATTTTTTTATATTACAAAATGCTGATTTTAACCACAACGATTAACGCCCACAAGATGGCACTACGCGCCGCTCTGAGAATCCTTCTCACAGCCAGCCCCGTGAAACTCCCATGCTATTGGTTGGAAACATGGCGGCCATGACACTTCGGATTCACAGCAACACACAAACCAGCTGTTGACGTTGTTGTCGATAATAACGCCGACTGGTGGGAAATTTATTCTTACCACATTAAACGAGCGGCAAATTCCGAAGGAGAAGGAAGTTAAATCAAAACTTTGATTTTTCATTTTTATTTGATAGAGCAATCTGAATACTTTAGCCAACTTACTTACGAAGTACGCAAAATTCTAGCAAGGTGACTTATATATACATCGTACAAATATATTAGTTTTAGCTAGATAAATCTTAAGTGAACAAATTTCTATGTTCTTTTCATCACAGAACTGTGATAAATTTATAGTGGCAAATTTTATATCTGATCTTATGTATATACAAACACCTCCTCCCTGATGAGTCATACGGGCATATTCAAGGGGCGACAAGCCCCTTGAGACTCATGTACAGTAATTATATTTTCAAACTGAACACTTGCGGGCATAGTCCTTATGTAACATCCTTTCTGAGGAGGGGATGGGTCTGTCACTTAAAAATGTTGATGACCTTTGCCAGTGCAGTCATTCTCAGGTTGGAGTCCCGTTTTTACTGTCTCAGATTCAAGACTCTGAACCCGGGTACCAGGTCCCCATATTTATATCTCCCAGGAAAAAAGGTGGACTGATTATACCCCCAGGCATTAGGTTACCTTCTTCCTTGCCTCCTATGACTTGCAGGGCTGTAGAGGAGGCATTCGACCCCACCTCCATGCTGCTTTCTGCAAGGACACCTGAGTGCATGGATGATTCACAAATATACATGCCGTAGCTTGGTGGTATAGTTAGCTGGGAGAAACAGAACTCTTATATTGCAATGAAATGTAGTGTTCTTTGGATAATCAATGAAGAGGATTTTAGTAACCAGTTTTCTAATTAGTTGTGTGAGGCAACATTAAATTATTCTGGTGGTCAGCCAAGAATTTGTATTGGCTTTATATTTTGTAGGCAGTCACCTGACATTCTTGAAGCAATGTGAACATTTACACATTCCAAGAGGAGGCATCGCATGACTGGAACACAGTAACCTGCTCTTTATGTTTGGTACCTCCATGGCCAAAAGTGTCCTCAAAAAGTGAGGGCTGTCCTATGTTGTAGACCAAAAAAATAGACATGCCCCATTTGCCAATTTTGCCACCAAGACTTCTGATATTTTGATGTATAAGAATTAAAGTGTCTTTAGTATAACTAGACTTATTGAAGAATAACTTATTTGATTTTGATTTTATTCCCATAAAAAATCCTCATTTCTAGTAGGTGGTCTTCTTTTCCTTCTATTACTATGTTCTCTCCCTTGATTAAGTATTGTGACAGGGTTATCCGTATTTCTTATAATGTTTTCTCTTTTTCCATCCTTTTCATCGTACTTGCATGTGTTATCAACCTGAATTGTCTTGATACATTTTTTTTGCTTTTGTAGGTTGTTTAATATGTTCCAGCAAAGTATTGAATTGAATTGAATTTATTTACATTCTATAAATCCTAAGCAGGTTAGTACCTTTGGATACAGAACAAGTCAAAAGGTTACATACATAAATACAGGCAATTTTAGCTTAAAAAGTAATATAACTTAATTTTACATCATTCTCTATTTACATTGAAGTATTCATCTAAAGAGTAGAAGGAATGAGCATGTAGATAATTCTTTAACTCTGATTTAAACTTTTTAGTATCATTGCCCAAGTTTTTAATACTTTGTGGCAGATTGTTGAACACTTTTATGCCAGTAAAGTAGACTCCTTTTTGATATACTGATAAAGTTGATGAGGGTAGGTGGAAGTTATATTTTTGTCTAGTATTCATGTTATAGACATCAGAATTTAATTTGAATTTATCTTTGTTGTAAACAACAAATAAGAGAAGCGATAATATGTATTGCGATTGAAGAGGTAGAATTTTTAATTTCTTAAATAATTCTCTACATGAATCTCTACTTCTACATCCTGTAATGATTCTAATTATATTCTTTTGTATTTTAAAAATTATTACACTATGTGAAGAGTTCCCCCAAAATATTAATCCATAGTTCATAATAGAATGAAAGTAGGCATGGTAAACCATCTTCAATGTTTCCTGTGACATAAAAGGCTTAATTGATCTCATCGCATAGCAAGCTGCATTTAATTTAGGTATAATTTGTTCAATATGTATTTTCCAAGACAGTGTACTGTCTACATGTATTCCAAGGAATTTTGTATCAAGTACTTTACAGATTAATTTGTTGGCATAACTGATGTCCAGATCAATTTGGTGGTTGTTTTTAGTTGTGAATGATATGTAATGGGTTTTATCAAAATTTAATGAGAGTAAATTGGCTTCGAACCATCTGTTTAAGGCTTCAAATACAATATTTATGTCATTTTTAAAGTTGTCAAATTTAGAGTTCTTAAATATTATACTAGTGTCATCTGCATATAGAATTGGTTTAGATTTATTGTTGATGGTTTTAGATAGATCATTTATGTAGAGAAGAAAAAGTAAGGGACCTAAAATTGATCCTTGTGGAACACCGTGCTTTATAATTCCCCAGTTTGAAAATGCATTATGACTGGAGTTTTTATTATTTATTTCAACTCTTTGATACCTGTTTTTGAGGTATGATTTGATCCATTCATTAGCTTTGCCAGTTATTCCATAGAAATTTAATTTCGATAGTAAGATATCATGATTAACACAATCGAAAGCTTTTGCTAGATCACAGAAAATCCCTCCCACAATTAATCTGTCATTGAGAGCACTTAAAATATCGTTAGTTAGTTCATAGGTTGCTTTTTCTGTTGTTAGGTCTTTCCTAAATCCAAATTGCTCTTTGACTAATATGTTGTTAGAATTTAAGTGTTCAAGTAGTCTATTATACATAACTTTTTCAAAGACTTTTGAGAATGAAGTCAATATGGATATTGGTCTGTAATTAGAGATGCATTTTCTCTCTCCTTTTTTAAAAAGTGGTTTCATTATAGCGTATTTTAAGCGTTGAGGAAAAGTACCTGATGATAAAGATTTATTACATAGATGATTCAAGGGTGAACTGATGTAAACAGAGCTTGCTTTAAGTAATTTGGTAGAGATTTCATCATATCCATGTGAATTTTTGGGCTTAAGGGATTTAATAATGTTTTCAATTTCCTTCCTTGTTGAGAATTTGAGATTGATATTTGGAAATGAATTGTTAAAGGCACGAGACAGATAGTATATTGGATTATTATTATTATTATTATTATTATTATTATTATTATTATTATTATTAGTATTGTTATTATTGGAATATGTTTTCTCAGCTAATGAAAGGAAATATTCATTAAATGCACTTGCGATAGCTTGTGGATTGTTAGTGGACTTCCCTTCAATATTCAAACTTTGTACGTCTTCATTAACAGATTTCTTTCCTGATTCAACTTTCACAATATCCCAGGTGGTTTTAATTTTATTGTTTGATTTTAGAATTTGGCTGTTATAGTTATTCTGTTTGGCTTCTTTAATGACTTTTGACAAAATTTTACAGTACATTTTGTAGTGACTTTTTAGTCTTGGATCATTACTGTCCCTACTGGCCAAATATAGTTGTCTTTTGTGTTTACATGAAGTTTTTATTCCAATTGTTATCCAGGTGGATTTGTTTTTATTTTCATTTTTGACTATTTTTAAGGGAAAGCTTGAATAAAAGATCCTCAAGTATGTGTTCAGAAAGCAATTAAATTTAGAATCAATATTATTGCTGTCAAATACATTGTCCCATGATTCATTACTTAATTTTGTGACAAAATCTGCCATCGTATGCTTGTTGATTTTCCTTACTGTTTGATATTGTTGATTACTGGGCTGAAGGTCAATATTATTTATTTCTATGAGTTGAGCATCATGATCGGATAAGCCATTTATAAAGGGTCCTACAGTATAGTCTCTTAATTTTGAGTTATCAATGAATATATTATCTATCGCTGAACTAGAATTATTTTGAACTCTTGTGGGAAAGTTAACAGTACTGGAGAGATTGTAAGATGATAACAAAGAGTCTAAATTTAGTTTCCTATTACTGTCGATGAGATAGTTTATATTTATATCACCACAAATTATAAATTCAACTTTTGAACTATGCAGTACATTTAGGATGGTTTCTAATCTATTTATAAAGTGATCGAAGTTTCCAGATGGGGCTCTATATAAAGTCAGTATACAAATATTAGAAAAAGGAGAGTCTAACTTTAGAGCACATGCTTCCAGATCCTGGTCTTTGCAATAATCTTCTAAATTTATTTTAGTAAATTTTAGGTTTTCATGTACAAAAATACTCACTCCTCCTTTCTCCAGTGTTTTCCTACAGTATCTAGCACCTAAATTATAATTTTCTAAGTGAAGATGTTCTAATTCCAGCTGTTTCATGTGATGTTCAGTAAGGCACAGTATGTGTGGAAGATTTGAATTCATGGAGCTTATTAGTTCATTTGTTTTGTTTCTCAATCCTCTTATATTCTGATGGAATATTCTTAGTACTTTATTATTCACTGAATTTAGTAGACTGCAATTACCTTTTCCGATTTCTATTGGTTCACTAACATTATTGTCTGAAAGATTAGTTTCTTTTGCAATTTCTTTTACTTGATAAACTTTACTTGCACTCTTTATCCTAAAAAATGATTCTGAACACCCATGACAACTGGAATGTGTCTGCCCTTAATGCTCTCTGCAATGAGTCGCGTCAGCTTGTCCTTGCCTCGAGGATTAAGATGCAAACCATGGACAGTATGTTCGCTCCTCAATATTGAAGAGACATCAATCGCATCAATGTGGGCCGCGCCGACCTCCACAAGCGAACGCTCAAGCCGAAGATTAATCTCCCTTACACACCTGTTAATCCATGGCTTGTCATGTCGCCAGAAAAGACCAACAAACCTCACATTGGTGTGACTAGTTTTCTGGGCAA